CTCTATTAGAGGACGTGGATCTGCTTGCCTCTGCGGTCGCACTCCTACAGGTAATGGACTCTAATTTTTTTCATATACCTATAGCAGGCCGACTAATTCATTTTTTCCAACAGTGGTCTCGGCTCACACAGGACCCGTGGATCCTTCAGACCGTGTCTGGCTTCCACCTAGAATTTACAGAGAACCCAGTTCAAATGTCTTTACCTGCCCCCTCATAATGTTTCAAATGTATGACATGTCCCTTCAGGTCGAACTCGATGACCTAGTCTCCAAGGGTGCTGTTGAACAATCCCTCAGCCCACGAGGTTTTGTGAGCAACATGTTTCTAGTCAAGAAAAAGTCGGGAGCGTTCCGAACTGTCATCAATCTAAGAGAGCTGAACAAATTCATCAAATACAGACATTTCAAGATGGAGGGCATCCATCTACTACGAGACCTCCTCTGTGAGGGAGATTGGTTCTTCCGCTTCGACCTCAAAGATGCGGACCTCACGGTGCCAATCACGCCAGTACACCGCACCTTCCTCCAATTTCAATGGTGCAAAACACTATGGCAGTTCACCTGTCTCCCCTTCGGACTGTCCTCCACACCTTGGTGTTTCACCAAACTAATGAAACTGGTGATGGGACTACTCCGTTCACAAGGGATTCGGTCCATCATATACTTGGACGATATCCTCGTCATGGCTCAAGACGAGAAGACTCTACGTCTCCATACAGATATGACTTCGGCTCTCCTCCAGAATTTGGGTTTTGTCATCAACCTTCAAAAGTCATGTCTAACTCCATCCCAGATGATACAGTTTCTGGGATTTCAGATAGATTCGATTCAGGCAGTTCTGCAACTCCCTGCTAAAAATCAAAACCATAAAAAAGGACATCCGGAGATTGCTGGCTTCACCATATCTCCGACTCAAGGATTTAGCCCGCACAATCGGATTACTCTCCGCCTCAATCTAAGCAATATTTCCAGCCCCACTACACTATCGGACAATGCAACGTTTGAAAACACACTACTTACATCGTTCAACATCTTACAAACAACAGATTTTCCTCAC